GGAGGACTTATTATTCGATATGATACGGGGTCAGGAACAAAAAATTGGAGGGGCGGAGAGGTCGCGTCCTCTTTCAGCTGCCATCTGCAAACCGTTGTCGCACGAATGCATATTAAAAAGATGGATTCGGGGGGGTTGCTAAGCATTCATGATGCAGAATCGCTATTAAATAGGATATGGGATGCTTAAATATGATATATAGATTATATTTATATCTCAATATTACGGCGCGGCCACTTGCGGCCGTCTGTCGCGCGCGCGGCCTAGCTTTTCCGCCTCATGCACCTTTAAATTGCCTCCTGCGGGCCTTCTAGCGACCCTAAAATCTCGGGAATTTTAGAGTCTCTGGCAAAAGCTAGCGACCCTAAAATCTTCGAGATTTTTGGTCGGGAGGGCGCGACCAAAAATCTCTGAGATTTTTGGTCGCGCCCCGGGACCCCGCAACAGGGTGCAGAAGAGCTGGGCCTCGGCAGCGGCAGCGGCAGCGGCAGCAGCAGCGGCAGCGCAGCGGCATAGCAGCGGCATAGCAGCGGCATAACAGCGGCATAACAGCAGCAACAGCAGCAGCAGCAGCAGCAACATGGGAGCGGCAGCAGCAGCAGCATGGGAGCAGGAGCAGCAGCATAGACGCAGCAGCAGCAGCGTAGCCGCAGCAGCAGCAGCAGCGAGCAGCAGTAGCAGCGGGCAGCGGCAGCGGCAGCGGCCGCGGCGGCGGCAGCGGCAGCGGCAGCGGCAACGCAGCGGCTGCGGCTGAGTTGCGGCTGTCCGGCTGCGGCCGCGGCAGCGGCAGCAACAGAACACTCCGCTGCTGGAAGCAGCGGATCCAGTCTAATTTATTCAAAAAAGCAGAGGGATTGGGACGGGCGTAAAGCTCTTCATATTTATTAGATTTTAAGATTTCTGAGCTCTAGAAAATTAGAATTTTGGGAGATTGGAAGAGATTTCGATTTTATTCATTAGATAATTTCTAGAGTTAAGTCTCATCGTTATTGACGCTTCAGAATCATTATCTTCGTAATAAGTGTTATCGATTTTGATGTTGAAAAATTATTTATTCCGTATAGATGGTTATGATCGTAGATTTTCCGATAAATATGAAGATGGAGATGACGATTATTTTTAAAGATAATATATAGAAATTGGAGAATTTTAGATTTTAATTATTCATCGGTCGTACAATTTCGGTCGAATATATAGATCCGGATCTCATAAATTTGAATAAATGATAGAAAAATATTAGAAAAATTTATCAACTTAATATATATCTTAATATATCTATTATTCGATTTTCTATTCTTATTTATATTTGATTTTTCTATATTTCGATATTAATATATTGAAAAAATGAAGAGATCGTAATTGAGTAATTGATGATATTTCATTTTTTCGACGAGATATGATATTTTATTTATTCAAATATATTGATTCGCTCTCAATATATATGAAATGATATATCTAGGACGAAGAAAGATGAAATTTCTTGATGATCGTATTTAATCTATATATTCATTGAAAAGATTCTCTTTCATCTATTATTTTTCTTCATTCGTTATGATTTCTTGGGATTGGAATTGAGATTTTTATCGAAATTATGATTTCCGAAAAATTTATTATTATTTGAAATTCACCAATATAAAAATGAATTGACATTTTTAGGTATCTCATATCCTAGGAAATTGGTTATTCTAAGATTTATTATTTATAAATATATTAATTTTTGAAGATTTGAAAAAAAATGAAAAATGAAGATCTTCTTATTTCTAGTCAAAAAATCAAAAAGATTCCTAGATCCTCCAAAAATCATCTGATATTCAGAGAAATTTCAAATATTATTCGATCTCAAAATAACAAAATTCTTTAAATTATTTTTCATGATCCGATTGATTTCTATAGATTTTTTCTCCGATCTATTATTTTTCCCACTAATATTTTTTCTTGGATTTCACGAATCGTCTGGAAATTGATAAATCAAAGATTAGAATTTCAGAAAATAGAAGATAGAATTTGAGAACATAATAGATAGCAATTGAAAGAAGAAAAATAGAATATAATAGAATAATAGATAGAATTTAAGAAAATAATACGGAGAATATATATTTATAGATTACGAAAAATATTATCGTAAATTATTCATTTTTTTATTTCATAGATTGGAAATCTTATTTCATATATAGATATATTAGAATTGGATCGTTGATGATAAGACCGGAAAATATTTGATTGATATAATCCATAACTAGAAATTCGATGAATAAATAATATATAAGATTGCACATGAAATCCTATGAATTATCAATATATAAGACCATACGTGACATATAGATTCCGAAAGATTTTGGATCTCTGCGTTCGATCGACCGAGCCGCCGAAAGAGATAGAAATGATCCGATATCTTGGGAGATTTTTGGTCGTGCGGCTCCTATTTCTGCGATGATCTTTATATCTCATTTATCTCTCATGAGCCATCTGCGCGACGATTCCGGAGAACGCATAAATTTCTAGAGATAAATACGATTAAGATATATAATCTTGAAAGATTTTGGATCTCCATCACGGATCTATGCGTTCTTCCGAAGAGAGATAATCAAAGAAAGAGATAAATCACGAAGAATAAATGAGATCGTATATGAATTCTGACGATTCATCAATATGAAATCCGCACGTGACCAAAAATAATCAATCTAATAGGTCCTGAAAGATTTTGGATCTCCATCTCGATCTGCTCCAAATCGCCGCGCAGATAGCCAAAGAGAGAGAAATGATTCCAAATCTCTCAAGATTTCGAGACGCGCGATCCCCGTATCCAACCCGGTCTTGTCGCCTCATTTATCTTTCTAGGATTATCTGCGCGACGGCCCAAATATAATAAAATCCCTGAAGATGGATACGATCAATCTATTATAGATTCTGCAAGGTTTTGATTCTCTATCCCGAGGCCTATATGGAGATTGTCCAATATTCTTTCATCTCGAATTGATGGGTTTGTGATGTGATTGCGCGCGCATAATGGGGGGTTTACAATAATTTTCGTGCAAGCTCCTCCCAGAGCAATTATAATATCATTAGCGTTTTCGAATCTTTGCGCCAATCTTGCGCCGTGTTTGCGCGGAGCTTGCGCGTGCAGGGTTTTTTTGGCAAATTGCGCCGTATTAGCTTTTCGGTGATCTAAAATTAGAGAAGAATTTTCAAATAATCTCCTTTATAAGAGATAATTCGTTCGAAAAACAGCTCCAGAAGCAAGGACCGAGATTTTTAGTAGCGCCGCCCCCACTACAAATCTCGAAGATTTTAGATTCTCTAAATATTTTTCTGAAGAATTGCAAATCAAATCTCCAATTATTTTTCGGATATTAATCCTAAATTTTTAGATCAAGGGATATCGTTTATTATCATAAATTCTCATCAAATATAGTATAATATAGAGGCTCCAGAATATCTTTTTAGAAAAGAATATAAATATATAAATATTCAAGACTTCTAATTTAAAATCATTATATATTCGAATTAAGAAAAGAATATCATTAATATTAATATATATATTTCTCTTTTTCATGAGATGCAAAAAATATCGAAAATACGAAATTCAATTTCATCAATTTTAGATACCTCAATATCACGGCGCGACCATTTGGGATCATTTCGTTCACGCGCGGCCTAGTTATTCTAGTATAATTTTAAAATATCTGTGGCGGGTTTTCTATAGAGAAATTTCTGATTCCAGAATTATTAGACAAGAACGTATATCATTATAACGCGGGCATGAAAAGGTATCTGGCGTAATATCAATTTTCAGATTTTGAATTCAATGATCTGGGACGGAGGAGTCTAGAACGGAATTCGAGAATTAGATCCGGAATTCTATATTGGGATTGGATCGAGATGGGCGTGTATATTTGTTCGGGAGTTCTTGATAAAATCTATTGATTTCATATTGGATATCCGTGAATTTCTCAGATATCTATCGATGATCCGGAATGATACCAAATACCTTGGTTCTTATAGAAAGACAAATGGCAATATGGCATAGCCTGCCAATCTCATTATTATTCTCGCAGTGAGCGTTGTCCTTCGTTCGTAAAGCGCTGCCGTGGTGATATTGGTCGGATTGCGCAGAGTTCTAAATTGCGCCTTTGTGGGGCGGGCTTCTAATTCTAAATCATTTGAAGCCAAAGATATTGGCACGCTAAGTTTACACTCTTTTTTTCCACTGACCACTTGGATTCTGAATGTCCTAAGACTATGATCTATATTCGTGCAACCTAGCATGCAGCCTGAGTGAACAATGCTGGTGACCATGCATTAGGCTCGTTGTACTACTGAGAGCCTTGAAGGACCCTTACGGGCGATCATTAGGGCCCGAGGCCACCCCATTCTTTTCAAATTCGACAGGGTTATTGGGAAGTGTCACAGACGTACGGTTGATGGCCAAATCCTGCATGACCCTATCAAAAGTCAATAGTACATTGCCACATGTCACAGATTTTAGGTGAAAAGAGAGCTGCAGTGCAAGCAAGGTTTCTTGACATCCAAGCCCCTGGGTTTGCAACCTAGATGCTACTGTAACTTATCCTGGCTAATTGTTCTGGAAAATCAACGCCGTGATGCAATCCTTCACCGAATCGCCTGCAGCCAGCATTGCTCTTGAGTTGACAAGCCAAACCGAGATGCTTTGATGTGCTCTGCCAAGAGACGTTGGCTCTGCCCAAACTCGGGCCCCGGCATGTAAAGAGAAGCGCTTCGGGCATCTTCAGCCGTATTGAGGCCTGCCACTTCAAGAACACATGGTACCGGAAGTCGCGCGATGCGCTATAACTGCGGCCACGCAAGTGGAAGTAAATCCCCTGCTGAAGAGACAATATTGTTACAAGCAAAAGAGAATGTGCCCTGTGCCGAGTTTTGTCGCCAGGCCGATGTTGATGGACAGCACCAACGTAAGCACGCCTTAAACCTATCTTGTGTGCCATCCGTCTCACGACAACACCAGCACCAGAAAACACAGGCTACCTTGAAACTCCCAGAAGAGGTGCCTGTAAAGCTGCATGTTGCATGCAGGCTGAGAAGCGGCTTCGCACCAAAAAAGCGACCACGGCAATCAAAGAAGCCGTCAATCCAAGGATGCTATAGGCAACATGGCTTGTCTCAGGCCGACTTTGGGCCTTTGCAAAGACTCTCAACACATCAGGTTGGCTCTCAAGCTCGTGGTGATGGAGCCAATCTTGGAAGGACCGTAACCAAAGATCTCTCTGGTCAACAAAGCTAAAGTGGCCAGCATCCGGCATGAAGGCGTAATCCCCACCCAATGCTTTACTCATGGCGTGCACATCCTCTGGCGCCACGATGTCATCTTCCGCGCCAATGGACAGTGTGGGAATTCCGTGCAAAAGATGCAAGCGCTCGCGCACGTCCCAAAGCTCCAGGAAGCCACCAGTGCCGTTGCCATGGGGACCCCACGTCTCTTGTCCCAAGAGTTTATTGGTAAGTCCAAGCATCCGCCAGGGCTCTTCTAACTCTGGCTTGTACAAGCGACAAGATCTCCAGCTTGTGCTGTCGCACCAGCGCTGCCTTGTAGCTGCTTGGCTCTGACTGGCCACCCAGTTGCTGAGAACTGCACCACGAGCCCGCCCCGGCCATCGCAGGAGGAATTCCTGGGTTGCTGTTAAGGAACTTAAGTTGAGTTACCACAAATATTATGGGTAAATACTAAACAATAGGGTTCCTTTTTCTAGTAAGTTAATTAAAAAATTCTTCAACATCAATCGAGATTCTAGTGTTTCAACCACACCGAAACCTTGGCAGGACAGCCAGCACATCAAGGACAGATTTCAACTGCAAAGTTGCACATTACAACACAGCAGACAAACAACACAATCTCCAATTCCCCTCCCCCTAAGCCGAACCTTTGCAACTTTCCACACGCCACGTAGCTGTGGCCAACAATCACAGCATCTTTGGGTACCTCCAGGGCCCTATAGACCTGATCCATGATGCTCACAAAGCTCTCCAGCATCATCCACGTCGCATCCCACGAACATGCTTCCAGGGGATAGGAGCAGGACGAGGGCAAAGCACCCAAGGGATCATATTGAATGATCTCATAGCGTTCAAGATCCAGATACACTGCAAGGAAGTTCAGATCCCAGAAAAGACCGCCTGGACCTCCTTGCGCACAGAAGATCTTTGTGGGCCCTCGACCCACCTTGCGCGTTAAAACGGAATATTGCTGCCCTTGCAAACGGATGCTGATCCACCGCTCCTGCCATGGCCGGATCCACCAGTCGGGCTGACTTGCCAAGATCAGATGCGCTGACACCATCATGAGGCGCAGAAAGGACACAGACATGGTAAAGATTATAGGGGTATATATAGGGATCCCACCAATAATCGAGAATCAAATGGAAAAGAAAATGGAAAATGAAATGGACACTGTGGTTATATAGGGTGAGTTTTTGCAAAAACTGACGTATGCCACTTTATTGTAACTCCGGTCTTTGTCCCCTGCCGGAGTTTCACGAAGCTCTGTTAATCTCTGAGCGAAAAAAAGCTGCAGCACGAGCACCCTGGCATTTCTCTAGGAACTTGCAGCGAGATGCCCAAGAAAGAGCCGCTCTTGAGTTTTGGCCGAGGCTCTGACTTCGTCTTCTCCACAGCTCCATGCTCGGGCTACCAGCACAGGGCTATAGCTATGGAGTGAAGAACAGTGGGAGAATCTTTCAGCAGCTACTTTGAATCCAACTCATGAGCCGTACAGTATCTTTGAAATCTCCTAACCTAGTGACTTGACCGGGGGTCCGACAGCTACTGCTAGTGCGCTTTGTGATTTTGCGGTTCAGGGCGTAGCTGGAGATTCATAATAAGTGCGACTGTGATTGATAATGCACTTCGCTTATTATCTCTTTCGGGGAACGAAGCCTGCTTGAGCTGGATGTGGCTTGCATGATTTGCAATCTTGAAACACCTAGTACCCCCCTTGATAACCCCTATAGTGGTCTCCCATATGATGCCCTCGATAAGCCCCTTTAAGGAGTTTAGACCATATCTCATGTAAAAGCTTGAGCGGACAGAGTTGCAACAGCCCTTTTGCCCTGGCTGGCACAAGTGTGTCAACGGCTAAGGGCCTTTAAGTGTCTGCATCCAAGTGGGGTTTACTCGGGAATCAACTAAGCAAAGGGAGCGTGAACATAATATTCCTGATTAGTCCCGACTTGGTGCATTCCCCTACATCTAAGAATTAGTATTCTTTGGCATCAAGCGCAGGTGCGGCATCATTGGTAGCAGAATGCGCGCGGCGCTGGCGCAGACGGGGCTGCAAGCCTTGTATATCCTGAAACTCTAAGGCCATGCGCTTCTCAAAAAACTGTTGCCGGTACTTCTCCTCCTGCACGCGAAGACTCGTAGGGTCCGAGTAGTAGAGGAGGAACATGATCATCAACAAGCAATGCTCGCCAGCTGCTAGTATGTACAACTGCGTATGCTTCTCCAAGCCCAAATTCCTGGGTTGCTGTTAAGGAACTTAATTAAATGAAATTACCTCAATGAGTATATATAGTCACTAATACGGTTTCCCCAATATAGCAACCCAAATAACTTCCTTAACTGCAACTCAGATTCGACAGGACCAAATCAACGACGGTTTTACAAGTGCGGCTGTGCTCAACGCAATCTTCCGCATCGTACCTTGGTAGGGAATGAGGGTATACATTATGTGGGTTTTGTGGATTAGGGTTAGAGAATAAGTCGGTACATTATGTACATTATATGGGGTTTGAGGATTAGGAGGGAATAGGAAAATACATGATGTAAGAGCAATGGAAACGAAAATGGAACTATTACATTACAGCAGGTATATATTGGTCTTTGTATGGAATAAGGGAATATAATACACTGTACAAGGGTTCTGTATGGAGTATACTCCCTACTTACCACCCGTGCGCCTTCCAAGTTTTGGACAGAGCAATCGCAGATAGCAGATGCAATGCTAACAATGCACAGGCTGGCGCACGAGACTGTTGGCAAAGCGACGGGAAGATTATTTCGGGGGAGAGACTGCACCAGACGGATAAAAAGATATGAGCTGTAGTCTAAACTCCTGGTATCCCCCTTAGAAGCCCCTATAATACTCCCCTACATAACCCACTTTAAGAAGTTTAGACTATTGCTCATATAGAGAACAGAGCCAATGGCTTTTTGAGACTCCAGAAAAGCTACCTCCCTGTTTTTGGAAACTCCCATCGACTTCAAGACACCAATCTCAAAAACTCCAATCAGCTTCCTGTCAGTGAGTATAGAATATAGGAGTATACTACCTATACTGCCGCTACATACCATGTTTCCTTTTTCCCTACTAATCCCAACATATACCGACTACAATGCTGCCGACGGAGCCCGGCTTGTCTACAGGGCCCCTACAACCCTTCTGTCAGCCAAGGCGCCATGTGAAGTTCACAAGGAAACCAGATACAAGCATTCCCAATCCGGTGACTCCAAGAAATGCGTTGAAGGATTGGCCGATCCCCACAACCATACCTAACTCATCTCATGGGGCTTTTGCTATTGAAGGGTTTAGGTTTATGGCTTTAAACAATTGGCACTAGTGCTAAGGGTTTGGAGATCTGTTCTACTTAGCGATTGCTTCTGTAAATCAGGCTCAAATGTCTACCCAACAATGACTCGTTCACGAGGTTCCGGTGCTCGCGCAAGTCGAATTAACCGGTAGCAATCGACCCGATTTTCCAGGTGGCATCCCAAGAGTGCAATGCAAGGTGTCAGAGGAAAGGCCAAGGTGAACATAACTACCTGAGATTTCGACAGGGCTGACCTTATGGGCCCCCACTTAAGGAGCCCACCAAAACCCAAATCTCTTCTTATAGACTATTGGGCCCCTTTAACGAAGACTATTAAGAGTTGTTGGGGCTCATGGGGGCTTGCTGACGTGGTTCGAGTTTTGGGGGGTCTTGTAAGGGCCCATATCAACCCTATGATTGTCGGACTGTTGCTAGGCATGTCCAGTCTATACGTGGATCGAGTATGCATGAGGAATCAATGGTGCAAAAGCCAGCCAGCTACCATGCCATACTGAATCACCAGTTCGATCAGCTCCTGAACGAGCTGGAAGGTCCTGTCCCGCGCCAGCTGCTCAGAAACCTGCTAAGGGTGCTTTTGCAATGATGTGGAGAACACGAACAGGCAACAAAGCAGATTAATTATGCACACACACACACACAAGCGCGGCAGTTCCCATTTCATGTTCCAGGTGCTTTTCCGTTTGAGCCTCCGTTGTTGGGAAAATATCCCTCTACTCCCTGTAAAATCCTATATATGCGCCCGCGCTCCGCCTTGTGAGTCCCCCCCCCTGTCCCTCGCCCCCAATGGTATGTGCAAACCCCCCAACACAAGACAACCACAGGACCACAGGGATACCTTCATAAGCCTGTGAACTTGCGAACCCTCTACAAACTTTCTTTAAACCTTATAGAACCTCTCTAACAATATTATATGCCTGTATAAGCCTAGTCTGAACCTCTAAACGAACACCCAGACCCAGACCACAGGACGACAGGACCGCGTCCCGGGAGGTTCATCATAGTCTATGTCATGGACTATGGAGGGGTGGGGGCCAGGGGGGCACCCTTGAAGGCTGACGTATACAGTGCCTGTACAATCCCCATACCCTATGGCCCCTTTATGACAATACCTCGATATGAATAGCCAACAACACTTCTTGTCTGGCCCATGGTCAAAAGTCTCATACTCCGATCTCCTTCCATCAGTTTGCGAACCGTACACGAGCCAGATGAAGGATTGACTCCCTTTGCCCAATGCACCGTTCTTTTGTCTGGAGTGGGGGCATTGCCAACCCATGGTAGCTCCTCTAAGCCCCATATACAACTCTCATCCAGGGCACCTAGGGGAAGTCGAGCACTTGACTGCCATGCATGTTCAAAATACCTGGGGCCCCAAATGACTAAATCTAATACTAACTCGTGTTGCAGCACTTGAGTCGGGCCTTGAATCTATGCGCAATCAAGTCAAAAAAACAACAACATTTTCACGTTATCGGACCAGGGCAAGGCTGGCGACAACATGTCTATGTGATGGTCTAGTATCAGGGGTTCATAGTGGGTATGTACAGGTTCTATAGGGTTATATGTGGATTATGGGGGATGTAAGGATAGTATGTAACCACGGCTGGTGTGAAGTTACTGCTGGTGTTTTGTGCCGGTCCTTGTTTTGAGACGGGCTGAGCATTGCCTTCTTTGGCATATGGCATGGATTGATGCTCTCCACCAACTCATTACAATGAATTCTTCCACTTCCCATTTAATTTGCTTTGCCCGCTTCATCTATTTGAAATCCGCCAGTGTGACTTGTTCACGAATCCTATTGTTGCCTGTAGCGCCCATCCAACCGCTCGGACAGTGTTTCTCGCCCCCTCTCCTAACAACCAAGGAATATGGAACCACAATGTGGCACTCACATACACAGGGCCTCCCCCTGCTAGCAATGTGCCCCGGAGAATTCGAAATAACTGTGCCGCCTTGGCGCTGAGCGCTTGGGGATTATCGCGGATGATCTTGGTTCTGCTGGGACCCAAAAATAGATATCAACGAAACAGGGTCGTCTACCCATGGCCTGAAATTCTGAAACTCCTTCAGCTGCTGCCGAAACATAGTAAAGAGGGTCTCTGCGCTACGAAAAGGGAGGACAACGTGAGGGGATTCTCTTCATTGAGAGGAGAGCGGGGCTTGGCGTCAGCCAGAGTCAGAGAGCCAAACAAATGTTTGAAGCGCCCACATTTCTCCGTGTTTTCTTATTGGAGAGAGTGGATCTGGCTGAGCCTGTGGAACAACCAAACATAACCAAACTGACAGAGGCCGGCAGAAGACAGAACACGTGCTTCGTTCCACTAAGAACATGCTGCAGTACACATCTGAGCCTGTTCCAGCATCTTCTCCACGCAGGTGCTACGGGTTTCAGCACAGGCTGCATCCCCAGTGAAGATGTAGAGGAAGCGACGCATGCAGCAGCAATGCGTGTGTCGCAGCGGTGATGCAGCTTGCTTACCCACTTCTCGAATCTGTTTCCGCCAAAGGGCGGAGTAGAACTCAACGACATTATTCACCAGTGCATGAGACAGCGTCAGGAACATGACCTGGATCTGTAGTTGGTCCATGTTTCGTTTGTAGAATGCAATCCAGAGCAAGCTGTTGTAAGTGTTGAAGAGTGCGAACCCAAACAACCGATTGAACACGTCCCTTTCTTTGTCGTGGTCGTAGCGGAACAGCTGATACTCATTGGTGGCCAAGACCACGATCTGGTGCCAATAGCCCAGTAAAGGAACAAGCACACTGGAGGTCATGCCTTTTGTTGGGAGCTTCTGTGTGCTGAAGTGGGGTGCCCAACATATGCAACAGAATAAACTGAAATGATGGCTTGGCAAGGCTTAAACACGCTCCAAGGGCAGGCCGGGACCCTGACCCAGCCCCTGAAAACAATCACAACATGTACCAGTATCCTTATTCTTCTGACTACTGCTAGTACTTTGCCTGCGTTTCCCAAAAGCAAGGAGGCTACACATCCCATTTCTTGCCCCAAATCGCCTGAGAGGACATAGGCCACCCAGGGGTTTAGCTCAAATTCGTCATTGATTGCCAGTGAACCAAAGGTGGCACCACATGCCAAAAGAATGAAAAAGACACTGACGCAGCTTGCAAGCACTTGGCGCCGCAAATGCACCCAATAGCTCTGGTAACAAGCCTCATCAAAACGCCAAATGTCCGCTTTGAGCACCCTGTCAGTGAAGAAGTTGGCACCCTGACCAGAGTAGGGTGCTCTCAACAGCCTCCTCAACCTATTCAGAACCCTTCGCTGCTTCTGAAGAGTAGCTTTCTGGAAGTTCTTGCGCCAGCTCAGGGCAAACTCTGGGCGGACACGACCAGTGGTTTCCATAGCACCGGTACCCTTCAAATCCTGAGGGACAAGGTGTGGAGCACTATGATGATCTGAAACTGACATGGTGTATAGTCTAAACTCCTTAAAGAGGGGGCTATTAGGGGATTGTATAGGGGATTACCATTGGCGTCATTAAGGGGGACACTAGGAGTCTAGACTACAGCTTAAAATGGGAAAGGGAACTCCAGCGATGTTTCTCCCGACGTTCCAGTACAACACTTACCCAAAGGTTTCGCCTTCTTCGGTAGGCTCCTCTACAGGCCCCCATGGAATCCCTGAATCTCCAGCTCTGCCGTGTCAGGCATACTGCGCTGATACCCCTAAACCCTAAATCCTGAACTCAGCACTTCCTCCTGTCCTCAACATCCATAACCCCAAACCCTTGTCGTCCTCTGCTTGCTCTGTCCAGCCGTTATCCCAGCTGTAGGTCAACCAGGCAGCTCGGCGCCGCCAAACAATGCAAAAGACCATTCCTAGGGGCTTAGGGTTGAGGGTTTAGGGTTTGGGGATTTAGGGCTTAGGGTTTTCTGGGGACTTTTGGTGATATTTTCGGATAATACAAAGCAGAATTTGAGATTTGTCGAAGGAAACAAACGCCAAGATGCCCCAAACTGACATCCCAACACCCACAGTGGGGCGAACCAGCCGCCACCAAAAGCCAGGGGAGGGAAAGCTGGCATCCGCATGTTCGTTTGGGCTGCCTTGGATCTCAGCGAAAGATTGGGGGGGGGTTCCCAACATTAGGGGTACCATTTTGAGGGTTCCAATAATAAGGACTACAATATTTGGGGGTCTATATTGGGGCTCCTTTGTTTGAGGGAAACTACCATTGATCCCCTTGAAGCCAGAAGAAAAAGCAACACGACTCCAGCAGCGCTGTTTTCGACGACAGACTGAGCAGAATGAGAGCAACAAACCAGTTAAGTGCCCAGCTCCAAGTTGCGGGCAAAGAAGGCAATGAGCCCGAAAATTGCTGCAATCAGCAAGAACTGCGAGTACAGATTCAGGAAGTCAAAATAGCTGGCCACCTGCTTGTATGACTGCACGCCGCCAAGACGGGCTGAGAGAAACCTAGGAGAAAGAAAAAGCGAGAAAGACAGAGAAAGAGAGAAAGAGAGAGAGAGAGAGGAGAGAGAGGAAAAACAAACTAAGCTAGCAGATAGAGAGAGAGAGAGAGTGAGGTAGGGAGGGGAGTGAGTGAGAGGAGTTAGCAGGTGAGACTGCGTGAATTGCTGGTTTCTGAAGATGACATCGCATCAGAGATCCGAAGAGATCCTTGCCCTGAACCGCCTGTGGCCCAAAGTGCTGCCGCAACAGCTCCGTGTTGCAGGTGCAGCCTCGTCGGAGGTATCCCTGCCAGGTGAGACTTTGCCAAGGAAAGACAATACCACTCTCCAGCTCCCGCAGCGCCATAGGGCTGTGAAGCCTCAAGAGGCCGCCTTCAATGATGTTGTCGGCCTGGAGCTGCCTGGGGTCCATTTGCGCACCCCCTTGACGGAGATCCACATTCCCATCTTCCAGAAGAAGGTAGCGCTTTGGGTCTGTGATGAAGCTTTTGACCAAATATGTCCGCTCTGCTGGAGACAGCAAGGCAGATGGGTCTAGGCTTTGGCAGGGCGGCTTGAAGTAAGGACTGTACAAATACTGTGAAGTGCGGCTTTCAAGCCAAAACCTCTGCAGAGGACCCCCTCGGTCGAACTGCTTTGCTACAAAGCCGCCACATAGGAGGTTGTCTTGCCCATTTGGAAGCACAGTGCGCAGAAGGTTTTGGGCTTCAGCCCGCTGTTGAAGCACTCGCTCTGGCGCCGACAGCAGCAAGACTCGCTGCACCTGCTGCGATCTGGTAGACGGAATGGAATTGAAGAAACTCATCTCCTGGTAGGCGGCGCTCGCCACCGACACGACGCTATGGTCCGACTCAGCGCGCTCTGCCTCCAAAACTGCCAGGCCGACCGATCGGAGCTCGAATTTGAGGCTCGCACGCTGCAGCGCCCTCAGGCCATAGGCCAGCTGTGCAAGATTCGCCTCAAAATGGGGTTGTCCTGGGAAACCATGGGCTATGTAGGGAGAACAGCAAGATTATTGGAGTCCCTTTAAGGATTACATGAGCCATAGTCTAAACTTCTAGCATCCTCCTCCATAGCCCTTTAATAGTTCCCTATCTAACCCCCTTTAAGGAGCTTCGACTATAGCTCATATGGATTATATACATCAGTGGAAAAATGCAGCAACTCCAACCTGCCTCAACTTCTTCCAAGCTGTCTTTCCTGGATTGCTCTTACGCAAGGAAAGCCTGTTATTTACGAGATACCCCCTATTATGGCAACTTAAACTAAGTTCCTGAACAGCAACCCAGCTTCTCCATGACCTGCCAGAGAGAGTTGCGCGTCCTTCGCGACTGCACCGCCTCGTCGAGCTGCTGAACCACAGCCAGAACCTCACCTGAGCGGTGACGTTCAAAACCTACCCCTCAACTGGGATTACTTATATAAAACTCTATGCCGCAAAAGGACTATGTATTCTTATTCTATATTGAGTACCATAGTATTATTCTCGGACGTCTACAAAGAAAAGACTGCTCAACTAGGTTCAGATTTCAGGGCTGTCTGAATCTATGCCGGGCGTTCCTGTTCATGAGGCCCTCCCTCTTTAAAGCCAAAGATAGGGTTCAAAATGCCCAGGACGCTCAGTACTCTCAACCCCACCCTTGACCTGCGCTCCCAAAAGGCTAATTGTGCCGGAAAGATGCTTGGCATCGTGGAAGTCAACTGTGGAACACTAAAGTTTCCAGGAGAAGAGAGATTAGATTAGATAGCGTTGCAGCACCCCAGTGCCTGCACACAGGACATGCCTGCAATCTGTTTAAGCTTACTTCACCTGGCAAGTTGCCAATGAGATGATGGTCGTCTATATGTATATCTCCGACGCTCACCACTCCCGAGCTTTCCCACTTGCTCAGGTCCATTGTCAAATCCATATGCTTCTGTTCACACTCGATTTCCAGCCTGGAAGAGGACCCGCTAAGTAGGCCAGGCTTGAGACTTTTCTCATCAAATCCTTTTGACCTATCTGCGTCGGCCTCATCATGCTGAAACATAATACCAACACATTGGACAGCGGCAAGCTGCAAGTGTTCACATGAGAGAGGTGACACCCGCGTGTAGAAGGACTCGCTACCGCGGCTCTGATCGTGCAGATCCATTTGGATTGGCCAGCGGTTGGTGTGCACTGCCCTGTACCACTGCTTTGGGAGTAAATGATGCCGCTCATCAGGGCCTATTTCTTCAAGGAGCTCATGGTACTCTGCAGCTGCCTCCTGGAAAGCAAGCTCTACAGCCGCCAGAAGGTCACCATCGCAACCCTCTACCCGGAGGCCCTGCATGTGCAGTTCCCGATGGCGTTCTGCATGGTGCCGTGAGACCTCACAGCGGAAGGGCAGCAGAAAGGGCTGCGCCCTCATGGTTGCCAGAATCGTCCTTAGCTTCGACACTCATGTCGGGTAGCAGCCAAGTCAAGACAAATACAGAACCGCAAGTCCTGAAAATTGGAAATAGAAGAATGGTACAAGATATGGAAACAGAGATACTATAGAAGTTGATAAGGATAATTACGAGTACTACAGGGCCCTAAATAATGATCAATATCATCTTGAGGTCCATTTGAAGTACCATATACTAGAATCATACAAGGAATATGGAACCATAATATTGGTAGTTATTTAGGCCCCTATATTGCGTCAATATTCCAGATTCTGGCCAAGGCACGCCAAGGCCTCTGAGCGAGTTTCACAATCTCTCAGTCTTTTTCCTTGCCTGGGTTGTTGATAAAGGAACTTAAATTGAGCTACCATAATATAAGGGTTATATAAGGATAATGGAGAATAACATGGAAACTACTATTTAGGGTTTAGGGTTTAGGGTAAGGAGCTGATGGAAAATGAAATGGAAACTGGGGGAATGTTGATGAAAAGGTGTCCACAATATGGTGACCTAAATTAAGTTCCTTAACAGCAACCCAGTTGCCGCCAAGTTGTAGCAGCTTGCTTTTGGTCATTTCCATGCGGAAACATCTGGTCAAAGCAATCCCAAAACAGCCAGGTAAGGGCGGCTCGCGCATCGATCATGTGTTTTTGCAAGCTCTCACTTCCAGGAGAGACATCCAAGCAAAATAGGCGACAAATTCCGTTATGAGGTTCTTTGAATCGACACCCGGAGTATGGGGAGGCTGGGCAGCAAATGGCAAACTCAAAATGGTCAATGTGTGCAAATCGCACCTCTCGGCTGAATTGCTCCAGTGGAAAGTCCATTGGGTTCAAGGGTGACTCATACGCCAGCAACAACGCTACGAACTGGGTTGGCCCCTGATAGCCCATCTCTGCCAGAAGGGGATCATCGCAGATGTCATAAAGCATCTGGCACCAAAGGCCATCAAAGCCAACTTCCTCTAGGTCTTGCTTCTGCAAAGGAACTCCGGGCGCTCGCTCCAGCCTAAGCACCTTCATGGGTGTGATCTCCCCTGGTCCCGCTGACTTCCTGGACTCCCACTTCATATCCTGCCGTCGCCGTAGACACCTGACCAAAGACCACGTGTGGACACCGGAGGCAGCTAAGGCCTGTGTTATCTCCAGAGGCAGCTTCCCTTCTTCAAGCCATGCTTGTTCCTGCTGCTCTCGGCAAGATTTCCATTCCACTTCCAAGCTGCTTGCAACATCCTGCTGCCACGTATCAGGATATTTCACATGCCCCCCATTTCCAGCCAGTCTGATGCTGGAAACATCAAGGCGAAAGTGGAAAGGAAGGCTAGATGGAAGGTGACTTGGCAGATGAGCGCCTACTGCCGTTTCAAGGGTAGCGTTGGTGCCCCTCAGCATCATACGCTCCTCTTTTGCTGGTGGCAGTTCTGAAGCAATCGGCAGCTCGTCTACTGAGCATCCAATCATAATTGGATGAGAAGATGAAAAGCTGGCGCTAGGCTGTGCCGAGCATGCCTTTCCTTTCGACTGCCGCTGACCTTTGCGCTTCTTCTTGGCAGCGCTCTCCTTAGTGCCACTTGCCAGTTGGCCCAATCCACCCTTATCAGGAGCAGCACCGCTTTCTGGGAGGGTCTTCTCGGCGGCAGGGCAAGGCGACGCATCTCTTGGCATGCTGATGGTGCAGGCAAGGCATCAAAACGAGCGTCGCTGATGAAAAGCCGTAATGCTTGTTACGAAGTATGCTCTGGCAGGTGTTTCTGGGGCATACTTCGGTGTATGGTTTGCTGGTCTTTGTGGGGGGAATGTGGCCAGGATTTGTAAACGGGCACCTGACTGGAAGAATCCCTTAAGGAGTTCTCCAGCAGGGCGGCTGGGCCAAATCAGCGCAAGACGACGAACATCCTTGCCATGTCTGCAAATGCTTAGTAAGTGATGTGGGACTGCCCTCTCGTAAACATCCTAAACCATAATCCCCAATATACTATAGTAGGTTCCATTTTCTTTTCCATTATGCCCTTTGTATATACATATATATTCCCACAAACTCTGCAAACTCCGTCAGCTTTTACACCTCGGTTTCCGAGTCAGGTGCGAGTGAACCCCATCTCACGACAGACCTGGACCGCACCTTGGTCCACCGGCTTAGGGTTGATCAGGTTGGCCGTTGGAGGTTTCCCAAAATCAGGAATCCCTGTCTGAAGGCCCTATACATCCCTGTACTAATTTAATGAGGATTATCTAATATATTTGTGAGTCTATGTTGGACCCCCCTTTTTTATGGAAACCCACAGTGGCAAATTGGATCAGGCTGGGTGTTCGCACCCATGGCTTTCTCTGCAACGGTATCGGACTGACGGTGGACAGGGACAGTGCCGGCGCCTTGCAAACTCGCTGGCTCTTGGTAGGGAATGGGAGGAGAAGGCCTCTAGTAGCCCCTGTATAACAATCAAGAATAGAACCCCCATATCCGCCGACCCCTGGGGCCGGCGCCCAGCAGGTTCCCTTAGCTCCCTCATGATTTCCCCCGCATTTGTACTTCCTTTTTTT